AATTCTCTGCTGAGGCATGGAGGTATTAGGATCTATAATTATTAATGATTGGCATTTATATAATGCCTTAGTGTTTATCAAGTGCCTTTTATATGTATCGTGGGAGGGAATACTCCCATGAGTGGGATCATATGTCCTTGAAATCCTGGGGTACAGTTTATTCCAGCATGATTTTGGCCACAATGAAAACATCTACAAATGCAAAAATTCTGTCCTTGAAATGAGAGGAAGTATGGCCAACCCTGGAATCAGAAAGACCTGGGTTTAATTCCTTTCTCTAACATGTTTTGGCTGAGTGGCCCTTGGCAATACACTTAACCTCTCGATTCCTCAAGCACATCTCTAAGACTGACCAATTTACATTGTTAGAGTGAGTTCCCACACATTGGTGAAATCATAGGTTCAGATTTTTTTAAAAAATCACTAAAATGTCAAAGCCTATAATGAGGAAGCCATGTTACCTATTTACACAATTAGAACTATTCACATAAAACAAAATGTACTGACTCCTATTCTCCATCCTCTCCCCAAAACAATTATGGATTCTACATGTTTATTTATTAAAACAAACATATGCAGCCTTTTGGCAGAACATCAGCATTTTAAAGTATAATAGGGGTCTTCTAAGTATGTGACCACCCGGCTTTCCTGTTGCAGTTGGAGACTTCCAGGCTTAGATGAGCCTCATTAGGAGACTCTGAACCAGCTTAACAATTACGCTTATGCCAAGTATTAACCAGTAGGTCAGTATGAGGGAAGTTGGCCTCCCACAGCCTGTGTTTTGGGTACAAATAAGTATAAGGTAAACCCCAATGGAACTGGTTTCCATTAGTAAAATTACACCTCATCTTTCATGAGGATTTTATGAGAATTCTGCCGAGTATGTCTGTGGTCATGACAGGAAACATTTTAAATGCTAGTTAGAGTCTGTAAGGAATATGCCACACATATTTTTGGTATCCTTATGTGATATTCTTCCTGAGTACAGAGATGATTCCACTTATAACCACTCCTTCCAGCCCAGTAATTCCTCTCTCTACTTATCTCTCTCTCATGCTCAGAAGTCATAGAATGTGAAGATTTGTAAGAGACCTTAGATATCTTTAAAGTCAAAATCCTTTATTTTAGAAGGGGGAAACCAAGACCCAGAGAGATGGAAGTCTCTGGCCCAAGGCAACACAGCTAGTTAGTGACACATTTGGATTTCAAACTCAGGCCTACTGACTCCCAATTCCATGGTTCTTTGTGCTACTCTGTGATGCCTCTCTTCTACCTTCTTGCATTCTCTTATTCCCCATGGAGAGTAAGATGGTTAGTCTAGTCCCTGCAATGAAATTGTAACTTTCTTCAATCTCTTGAGTCTTCTATGTTTGCATCTTCCAAAGCACCTAGCATAATGACTGGGATGGAGGTGTCAAAATAATCAGGTGGCCCACAACACTCCCAAATAAGGACCAACTAGATTGAAATTTAATTTTATTTAATTATTTTAAATTTAATAAAATTTAATTAATATTCAACAAAATAAGTCAGGGATCTTTATGTACAGTTTAGTGGCCTTGTTTTTATTTGAGTTTGACACCATTGTCTTAGGACATAGTACTCACTCAATAAGATTTTATTGTTTGGATGACTGATTCTGCAGCAGTCAGCAAGCATGTATTAAGCAACTATTATGTGTTATATGAGATGATGGGCATAGCAAAGGCAAAAATGAAATAGTCCGCGCCCCCAGACCTTAGGAGCGAGCTAATACTCTCTCTTTCTCCAAAAAAAAGATAGTGCCTTGGTAGAAATAGATGACCAAGATTCTAAAATCCATACTTCTTTATCATGCATGGAGAAAATATGTATGCATCAGCTGACCTGATTTCATCAATAGGAACACTCTTCCACTGATAGTAACCCCTTCACACCTTGTTAGATAATCTTTATGAGTTACTGTACCCAAAAAAATTAGTAGAGTCAATAGTTGTAGAAAGTTAAGATGTGTCTTTTACACAATATATTATATACTTCATCAGTTGTAACAACATTTATGTTAATAGCACTATTGTGCAACAAATTGAATGTCAATCCTTGGTATATATTGGTATCTTTACCAAACTCAGAGATTAAGAAGGAAATTGATGATCTAGAGAGCATCTAGAGAAGGATAGCCAGGATGACGAAGAAAGGCATTGAATCTATATGAAATGAAGATCAGCTGAAAGAACTAGGAGTGTTTAGCCTGGAGAAGGAAAGACCGAGAGGAAATATGATAGCTCTCTCCAAGTATTTGAAGGGCTGTTAATATGGAAGAAGCATTAGACATGTAGGGTCATAGATTTAGAGCTCAAAGTTATCAAAGTATCTAGTAAAAGTGAGGAAACTGAGACCCCTAGAGGCGAAGTAATTTGTCCAAGGTCATCTACTTAGTATGTGGTAGAGCCAGTATTCAAAAGTACATCCTCAGACTCCAAATCCAGCTTTATTTCTACTATGTCAATTTACCTCTGTTCAGACTTGTACTTTTTTGCTCCAAAAGGCAAATCTGTGAACAGTGGGTAGCAGTTGAAAAGAGGAAAATTTGTGCTTGATGCCAGGAGAACCTCACAATTGAAGCTCTTCAAAAATGGAATGGGCTGTGCTGAAAAGTAGTGGTTTCCCCCTCTATTGGGTCCTTCCCCATTGGAAGGGTTGACGTAGAGGCTCAAGTATGTAATAATGGAGATCCTATCTAGATTGTATACAACTGAGGAAATTCTGTGGTGCATACACAAAGTTTGGCTTCTGTAAGGTATTCAGAGTTCCATTTGCTATACACAATGAAGGCTCTACCCCACAGCAAGATGACCAACTACCTCTGAGTTTTTAAGTATTATGGTGGAATTTCAGAAGATGAAATAGTCTTTACAAACCAAAGCAGAACGGCCAAGTGTTGTTAAGAGTACTACATAACTACAGATCTTTCAAAAGGCTAAAAAGCAAGCAGGTAGAGTCCTGTAGAATCACTGACCCAGAGTAGAAAGTGACCTTAGAGGTCTGATCTTCCATCTAGTCCGGGAATGTCATCTGCTCTATTCATGAGACTGGGTTATCCAATATGGGTTTGAACACTTGTTATCGTGGGTTCCTATCTCACAAAGCAGTCCGTTACATTTTTATACAGCTCTGATTTTAAGGAAGCCATTTTGATCTGAAATCTGCCTCCCTATAACTTTTCCCTGTTAGTCCCCTGAAGCAACATAGAGTAAATCTATTCTCTTTTATAAATGTCAGCCCTTCACATTTTCAGTCAATGACCATGTTTCCCTTAAGTCTTTTTTTTATTCCTCCAGGCTAAACATCCCTAATTTCATCAACCATTTCTCACTGGTTCTCCCTCTCTCTCTCATGGCCATTCTCCTTTGGATGGAATCCAGCTTGTCAATGTCTCTGCTAAACTGTGGTACACAAAATTGAACATCCACCTCCAGATATGATGTGACAGTCTTACAGAACTAGCCCCTCCATTGTTCTGGACTCTGTGCTTCTCTCAGTGTTACACAAGGGACATAAGGTTTTTTGGGAAACGTATTATGTGGTTATCTTAATGTGCCTTTGCTTTTATAGCAGTTTCCTTAAAGGAAGTTCAGATCTAGAGAGCCTTCAAAGTTCTTATTGGTCAGAGTTGGCATTGCCCCTCTAATCATTTCCACTTTTAATCCTGCTCCCACTTAGGGACCCTTAGTCAACTACCCAGGAAAAATACCTTCCTGACACCAGAAAGGTAAAAGACACCCCTGCTTTCAAGGAGCTCACAATCAAATGAAACTGGAATTCTGTGTATATTCATGGAGGAGGGAAGGGGCTCAGGCATAAGGTAGAAAGAGGACATTTGTTAACTTGGCTAACTACTCTGGATAAGAGTTTGATGAGGAAGAAATTCAAACAGAAGGTGAAGACGGTAGGCTAGGGATTTCTAATCCATATTATTTGGACCATTTTTTTGTAGCTACATTAAAGCTTTCTGCCAAATTTATGAATGCCCTAAAGAATTTAGCAAATAAAAACTATTTTTCCTGGTACTTAGGCCATTATCTATAAGTAGATCCATTTTTATAGTTATTTAACACCTAGTGATAAAAATCTTTAGCAAGGCTATGCTCTTGGATGAGACTATGATGTTATAATATGTGTTATATTATATATAACTACAATGTTATACTCCAAATACAATACCATTTGCCAAAGACACTTCTCACAAAATGTTAATTACACCATGCCAATACTTAATAGTTTTGGAAGTGATGCCATTGGTCATGCAATTTGAAAATTACTGGGATTGGAGAAATGTGCTCCTGGGAAGAGTAGAAGAGGGAATAGAACGTTCCAGTTTTTATTTTGGCATCTCTGACAAGCCATAGATGTAACATCAATACAAAATCATATCAAAATATTTCATATGGAGGCCTCAGAAATCACTGTAGGGCACATAAAAATGTAAAGGGAAGATGTCGCTCTTCTCCCTCCTTCTACCTCTCCCTTTCTTTTTTTCCACTGGTGCCATCGGTTAGCTTAGATATCGATCAGCAACAGTCCAAGCAGCAATAGTCGCAATTGGTTTGCTGAATCATCAAAAGCAGTCCTAATGCTTATAGACAGCTCTGGAAGACAGTAACAATAGATACCAGATGCTGAACCAGAACACAAAAAGAAAAGACCCTCAGGAAGCACATGGTGTTTTTTTCTTGCTCTGAAAATCTGTATCAACAGCCAATATTATCAAATCCTCAGGGAAAGGGGGGGAGGCACTCACTACATCACTGGGCTCAAAAATTTTCTTTCTCCCTGGGGGAAATGTTTTTCTGGAAAAGGTGAGTTGTTACTAATGTTACAGGCTGATCCACTATAAAATGTCTTGTTGAAACCAAGAATGATGAGCACTGGGCAAGAAACACAGAGGCAATTGGCTTTGAAAGTATTCAATTTTGAATCATTTTCCTCCTCCTTTTTTATTTTCCTGTTATCTCTGACAGGGCCGAGTGAGTTGTACTGGAAGGCTGATGGTACAGGCTGTCAACCAGAGAGGCCGCAGTCCTCGTTCTCCGTCCGGCCAGCCTCATGTCAGAAGGTATCTTATGTATTTCCTTTGCATAGATACTATAACAGCAAAAAAATTCTGCCAGGATCATGGTTGGACTCCAAGACAGAATATGTTCAGAAGACAGTCAGTACATACTGGAGGTGTTTTTACATTCAACACCCTTCTTGTATTTCTTTACAGGATGTTATGGGTCAAGATAAAGTTCACCTTTCCAGTGTTGAAAGCCTGTCAGAATTCCCTGGGGGTTGGTAGAGAGAAGAAGAGACTTTACAGTTTCACTGTTTCCAAATAAAAAGCGTATTTTGTACAGAGTGCAATACATGAGAGTGCTAGATTTTTAAGTTTGAGGACCTAGGTCCAGATCCTGCCTCTTGTGTCTACCTATGTGACCTTGGACATTCTCTTTGGGCCTGTTCCATCATCTGTAAAATGGACTCAGTATCCTTTTAGGTTCTTTCCAGCTCTGAAGCTACAATCCTGTTATTCTCATAAGCAAGTATTTGTCACTCTGTTTTGAAAAAGTGAGGAAGTTCATAGCTTTCTCTCCAAGAAGTTGGTCATTAGATGCATCTATAAGGTGCTTCTTTTAGGATTCCTTCATTTAATGACAAGAATGCAGGAAAGATCCCTGATTACATCAGGAATAGAACTCCCAGCAGTACAAATTAAAGCCTGACTATGAGTTTGTATAGAAGTCCTTTGGAGTTGCTTTGAGCACACAGAGGTTAAGTGACTTCCCTTTAAAAGAACAGAGAAGCCATTCTGAAGATCATCACTGATTTTGTCTTTCTTGGCAAAAAAAAAAGTCCATCCTATAAGGAGTTTGTGTTGGAGGTTACAGTTGAATTCCCATTGATCATGATTATACTGGAGAGGAAATATATTTAACACACCCCTTTGGTATTGTTTAATATTATTATGGGATGTTTCAGGCAACCCCAAGGGCTTCTGTTTAGCATTTCCCACAATAAGTGGGAACAAGCTTCTAAGGTATTATAAAGGATAATAATTCATCTCCATCTCCTCATTTATGTGGGCAATCAGGCTAGGTCAGAAAAGCTTTCCCTCAGAGCAAAGGGAATTATGCTGAAACCTCCAACACCAATCCCCTAATGGATGGGTCTTTTATGACTCAGGTAGCAAGAATGGTACCAAGAATGTGCTCTCTGCCCATAGCCTAGCTTATAAAACAGATATTGCCCCTGCCACAGAAAAGTAACCTCAAAAAGTTCTAAATGGAAGCCATAGTCCACAGCAACAAGCATTTTGTCTACAGGCCTTTATGAAAAAATAAATATACAGTAAAAAGAGTAACAGCAGATGCAAAAAATTTTCAGAGTGTGACAGAAGGGAGGAGAACCTAGGTAAATATCAGGCAATGTACATGTATATACTTCCTCCACAAGACTGAATTACAGATCCACCCATGGATGTGTATATTTCAGACACAGTGTCTTTGTCTGTGATATTTGGAAAAGCCCTCTTTGTTTGCTCTGTCCAAATTTAATTGAAACTTCATTTTGGCAACATCTGGAATCCTTTTATTTATTTTTAATTGCTGTCACAACTTATATTAAAACCTGTTTTTCTGGACATGAACACAAAGGAATAATAAACTTACCATGTGCCTGAGTCAACCTTTTAGTTTCAATTCAGGCTCACCCTATTCTCCATCTCTTTCTTTAGTCACCTGTATTCATGCAAAAATAATGTATTTTTGACCCCCTGGTCATTTACATTCATTTGTGCTATTTGATGGGGTTTTTTAAAATATGCATTCCAATAAATGAGATCGTTGCACATATATATATATATCTCAGTGCTTCCCTAGAGTATATTTTCCTCTTAAACTAGACCTGTGCCTGGAGCAAGAATAAATGGATTATAAACAGGCTGACAATTATTTGTCTGTCACAGTAAGAACACTTTGAATTTGTTCCACTATTGCTTTCTCTATTTATGTGTTCTTAAACTTAATTCACTGTGACTCCTGGCAGGACTCCTTATTTTTCCTTGTGCTGTCTTCTTTAGTTTTCTCTGAAATTAGTTTAAATTATTTTTCTCCTAAGGATGAGTTCTCTAACTAGACTTTTCAAAGGGAGAAAGAATATAAAGCACACATACCTGATAGATTTCTCTTGATTTTCATATTCTCTTTAAAAGGACATTTTTGTAAATGTCATTGTGATCATGGAGTCAAAGGAAAATATGTCTCGCGCTCTGTGTATATGTATGTGTATGTATGTTTTCTAGATGGTATGAAAAGGACTAGGGACAACTAGGTGGCACAGTGGGTAGGGAGTTGGGCCTGGAATCAGGAAGACTTGAATTCAAATCCGGCCTCAAACACTTAGTATCTGTGTGACCCTGAGCAAGTCACTTGACCTTGTTTGCCTCAATTTTCTCATCTGTCAAATGAGCTGGAGAAGGAAATGGGAAACTACTCCAGTATCTTTGCCAAGAACACCCCAAAAGGGGTCATAAAGAATTGTACATGACTGAAAATGACTAAACAACAAGAAAAATGAAAAGACCAGGCTTCGTATCCAAAATGAGCCTTAATGCAAATGTGTCAGGATTTCATAAAATAAATATTAACTTTGAATCTCCCACAAATCTAAGAATACAGTGGAAAGTTACAGTAATTTCTGTTGAAAAGTGTTGGAAGCAAATTAATAGACAACAGCTGCTGCTACTTCTCACACAAAATTAAAGGGAAAAAAATACTTCATTTGGAAAAAGAAAATTTTACTGTGTACAGGGTGTTCCAAAAGTCTTGGTGCTATTAAAACTTTAACATTGTACTCAGACTTTTGGGTTACCTGTATAATACTCAATTTTTTCATTTACCTTCGTTTCGATTTGCAATAATTTTGAAAGCCCAAAGATGTCAGAAGTTCAAGCAAGATTTAACACTATGAGAGCAGTATCTATAGAATCAGAAAACCTGGCTGGGCTCCCATCTCAGCTGTGCCAATTTACTTACCTGGGCAAGCAGACAGAAACACAGACAGGCAAGTCAGCTTTGAAAGCTATAAATTGGATTTGTTATATACTTTAAAAGAAAAGCAAGCTATACATAATAGAGACCTGTAATTTCATGTGTAATCTTTTTTCTGTTCTATTATGTATATGGACATAAGGGTTTTATTTGGTAAGTTCAAAAAAATTTTTTTATATTTTGGGCAAGTCATTTAATTTTCTGAGCCTTAGTTTCCTCACTTGTAAAAAGGAGGAGGTTGGCCCAGCTTGTCTCTAAGGTTTCTTCCAGCTGATTTTAAGGCCTACTGCAGTGCATACACCCTTAAGTTCAGGATTTGTCCCCAAATGAAATAATAGTTTCTAATGTTTTTTTATTCCATTATTGGTTGTCAAAAAAACTGAGATTAAAAAATAGAGCTATGTACCAATTAATTTATTGTGGGGGAAAAAAAATAAGAGAGCTGAAATCTATGTACCCTGTTTCAAAGACCCCGATCTAGATCACGAGACAGTGGAGATGAAAATGAACCAATTCAAGAACGATTTTTCAGACCTCACTTCTTGCAGGCACCTGGAGACCTCACTGTTCAGGAAGGAAAACTATGCCGAATGGATTGCAAGGTAATTTGCTAACTGATACTTCCTCTCTCACTTCATCTCAATATCATTACTTTATTTCTCTTGTGGAAAGGTGATATATGTTTCTCATTATTCGTAAAACACCTTCCCTGCACATTCACTATAAATATATGAGTGGAGGTGTTGAATTTGGTTAACTTGATAAGAAATGTTAATAAAATCCTCCATCCCTCCCCCCATCTTATGTTTATTTTGTGTCCAGATTTTTTTCCATTCTCCATTTCTAACAGAAATTGTAAAGATGCCTCATTTTCAGTGTCCCATTATCTTCTGCCCTATTCAAGATCTTTGCCTCTAAATTTTCATTTCAAGCATTTAAGGACTGGATTATTAATTTCTAAAATCTTTGGGGCGCCCTCTGCTGGTTCTCTTCATACTACAGAAAACAAATTAATATCTGTTTACCGTATTTTTCCGTGAAAGAGAAACAAGGCCTTTTTCTTTTTTCAGAGGTTCAAGAGGTATTAGATGTATTTTATTATTTTGCTACTGCATTATACTGCAAAGGGGTCTTTAAAACAAGATAAATATAGTTCAGATCTTTTAATTGTAAAAATGATGTTAGACCCCCCAAAAAACCTTTTTTTAAAAAAAATCAGTCTTGTTTAAGATTCAACAAATACAAATGTCTTACTTTCTGCCCTCAGTTTAAGCCACATAATTTCAGGGAAATCACTGACAAGACATACTTACAAGTAAAAAAAATTTTTTTTTAATTAGCAAATATCTCTATTTTGATTTTCTTGCTAGGATCTAAAATAGGATAAGTAAAATGTTAGTGGAAAACTGAACCAGATGATGACATGCTATAGGAGCTGCTGCAGGAAAAATGTCAATTATACATTGTAGTTGCACACTAAGCTTTATTCCTTCGAAATATGCCAAAAATGAGCTTTTCACCCCTTGGGTACATTCTTAGGAGCTGACTCTCTTTGATTTGGTACTAAGCCTGAGGAAAGCTTTTTCCTTTCCACTAAGTGCAAGTGTGTATTTCCCCATTCCCCATTCCCACACATTTCTTGAAAATCCAAACTGTCCAAAAAGATGACTTTTAACCCTGGAAATTATACAATGTTACTGTGCCTGGGGGGCAGAAGGGAGGGGGAAGTACAAAAGAATGGCTGAGGGAATGGAATGAAGGGGTATTTTCCTTTTACTTCACACGAGTGACTCTTCCCATTGGAATAGATCCAATATAAATTGGACGGTTAGAGCAAGACAAAACACCAAGCATTTCTCCTCACTTAGAAAAGGAACTTAACTAAGTAGGTTGGCCTTGTTGTTTGAGAAAAATAGATCCAACCTGCTGTGACACCTTTTGCAGTTCTCAGAGAAGCCTGGGGCCTGCCTAAAGCATTTTTCCACCATTCCCATCTCTACATTGCTATCCCTGGTGGTGACAGTGATGCAAGGGCAGTCAGTTATGCCACTGAAAATGGGGAGAAAGTAGTGATTGTACAGGTGGAAAGGTGACCAAGGTGAGGGAGTACATCCCTCTCCAAGTCTATATATTCATGCTACTTTAGTGCCTAAACTTCTTGTTTATGTCCAAAGGTTTTCATATTCATTCTGGCTATCTTCCTCTGTGGATCTGATCCCCAAGAGAAATTTGACTGCTTTACAATAATTGGAATGTCATTTGATTTGATTTTTTAAAAATTCTTACAGAAAAGAAATCCTCCTTCCATGCTGCTCTCTACATGTGAGGAGGCACCTTTAAAAATGATGAGTTTGATTCAAAGGATTTAAATTCAAAGCACTATATACTGTAGGCAGGATTAAATGAATGACATGTAGCCAGAATGGAATTTGGAAGTTCAGTGACAGATTTTGGCACAGTTGCGTCTTCAAAGGGAGAATTGTTTTATAAACCAGCTGACATCTTTTTTTTTTTCCTGACATCTTTTTTGTCTGTGAATTTCCCATGAGAGAAGAGAAGGGGGTTGGGAAGTACCTTTAAGTGGTACTTTCCTCCCATTCTGAGTCAAGGGCAAAACTGGAAAGAGCTGACAGATGGCAGCCCTCCTCTGGCTTCACAGTGCATCATGTTATTAGCAATTAAATGGCTTTTATCTGATCTCTGGTCAACACAACTGTCAGGATTTTAAGATATTAAGATGTTTTCATTGTGATTCTAGTTTGTGGAGAGTGCTTTCTGGGTAATCTCAAGTTGCTTTTGTTACCCAGTTTCCAGTGTTATTAAAATAATCATCCTTGGCACTGACTGAAATATTAAATAGTATTTCTTATAGTTTTGGCAGTCCCACAGTGAAAGAAGTGATTCTTCTGTATGAGGGCTGAATAAGGTATTCATCATTATCATTACTGTCATTGCTATGCATCTTTCTTCCCTAAAATTCAGCTGACATCATCTCAGTAATGCTCATATACTAGTAAGGTCATAAGGCCTTAAACTTTGTTTATCACCATTTCACTGATGAAAATTAAACTTTCGCTAACAAGGAAGTCATAGTATCATGAATGAGAGAATGAAAAGTATTTACTGAGCACTTACAGTATGCCAGACAGTGGGCTAGGCACAGAGATAAAAGTAGAAAAGGCAAGACAATCCCTGCCCTCAAGAAGTTTACATTCTAATATGGGAAGACAAAATTATATATTTTGGCATAGTGGCAGGGTTTTTTTGACCAAGGAAGTCACAGGGACATTAAATGTAGTCAGAGCAAATGATTTGGCACATCCTTTCTGAGAATGGTAGTACTGATTTCATTACTGTTACCAGAGCAAGAGGTAAAAAGTCAAGGGTGGAAGAGGAGTAGGGCATGCACATTTGCATGCCATAGAGATGGCTCTGGAACAGCTTCAGGGGGTCTAGATCAATCTAAAAATGGTGAATGGCAATAGGATCCCAGATCAAGATCATAGAACCTTAAGGGTTAGAAGGGACCTTAAAGGTCATCTTGAATCACAGGATCATATGTTTAGAGCTGAAGGGAACTTTAGAAGTCATAGATAGTACCATAAAATTTAGAAAACACCTATTCTGAACTCTTAATTTTACTGATGGTCTATAGCCCAGGGAGGTTGAGTGATTTACCTAACATCATACAAATTGTCAATGGCAAAGCTGTGATTGGGACTCAGTTCCCCTTAATTCCAAATTCTGGACTTCCTTTCACCAAGTCCTATGAAAGCATTAATGCTTTCAATCACTGAGATGTAGGCCAATTACCCAAGCAGTCATTCAGATTCTCTAGGGAAAGAAATTTATTTATCTCAAAAAGTACCCATTACATTATTCAGGAACTCTACTTATGAGAAAGTTCTTTTCTTTGTTGAACCAAAATCTGCCTCTCTGTGACTTCTACCCCACTGGTCCTAGTTGTGTCCTCTGGGCAACATAAATGTAATCTCTCTTTCAAATAACAACTGGGAGTTGCTTCAAATATTTTGAAGATAATGATTATGTCCACTTAAAATTTTCTTTTCTCTAAGCTATTCAGTCCTATTTTTGCCACCTATTTCCTGATTAGATTGCGAGTTTATTGAGGGCAGGGATTTTTTTTTTGCCCTTTTTTTGTATCTCCAGCTCTTAGCACAGTGCCTGGTGCCTTAATAAATGTGTATTGACTGAATATCTTACCTTTCCAAAGCTGTCATTCATTCTGTGAATCTTTGGCAACAGATCTGACTGCTAAACAGAAAAAAAAAAGCTATCTTACACAAGGAAAATTTCTTAACCTAAGGGACCTTGAAGGCCATCTAGCCCAACCTCCCATCCCCCCTTTGTTTTACTAATTTGGAACAGTAGCAAGCTATTGTGTGTTCAAAGCATTCTGAGTTTCCATTAACTAATAACTTTTCTGATTAAGGTCAGTGGATTACCAACACCAGATTTAAGTTGGCAACTGGATGGAAAGCCAATTCGCCCTGACAGTGCTCACAAGATGTTGGTGCGTGAGAATGGTGTGCACTCCTTGATCATCGAACCTGTCACATCCAGAGATGCTGGCATCTACACATGTGTAGCCACCAACCGAGCTGGGCAGAACTCATTTAGCCTGGAACTCATTGTTGCTGGTAATTATTTTGGAACACCTATGTGTCTCTTAGAACACCAGACTCTATGATACTCTTTTCTGTATGTTTCGCCACACCATTCCATTTGCATATCCAATCACCATTTTATGTACCGTCAAAATGCCAACACAATCAGTACAGGTACAAGACTTTGCAAATGACTTGTACCAGCCAATAGTCAGCCATTGCTTTTATAACAGTCTCTTTCCTCTTTCCTGACTACTTCCCACCAGCCTAATTAAGGGAGAAAGAATTCCAAGCAGCATTTTTGCCAGTTCATTCATCTTTCTGCATATAAGATTGTTTTCTACTGGAAGAGAGTGACAACTACAACTTCCAACAAGCTGCCATTATAGCTTTTTGCCTGCTTGTGTCTAGCCATTACATTTCCAGAATTTACCTTTGCATTACCCTTTACAGAAGAACATGCCTTGTATTATATGAATGAATGAATAGCATTTAACTTCAGAGGTGACTGGGTCTTGCTGCCAGATTCAAATTAATCTCAAGCTGTATTATTTTTCATCCTCACCAACAATATGCCTTTTCCTTTCCCAGTCCTACATCCCCTACATGAAATTCCTTACTCTTATTCTCATATGATTTACCAACGTTTTATTGGAATAGTCTGCACCTCATTATATTAGTACACAGGCCATTAGGTGGTGACTTATTTGACCAAAGCAATGTATTCATTGATAATATGGCAGGCAAAATAAGGAAGTGTTGTGTCAAAATACAATTCTTATTGGGATCGAATGAGATAATATATGTAAAGCACTTTGCTAACTTTGAAGTACTATATAAATGGAAGCCATCTATGTTGGTGTTAGTGTTAAGATGAAAACTCAATATTATGTTTAAGGGGGAGTTTCATAGCATTCTCATGAGCTAAACCATAATAAGAATGTTGATTTTTTTCCTCTCCCAAAAAATAAAGCAATTCAATTCAATAAACATACATTAAACACTTATTCATATGCATGACACTATATGAGGCACTAGGAATCCAAAGGCAAATGAAATAGTCCCTGCCATTAGGAGCATACATTCTATTGAAAACCAAATAATCATATGGACCTAGCTTAGGCCCAGACAAAGAACTATGGTACTATATGAGACCAACGTACGGACCTTTGGAAAAATTTACACATGCTATGATTCTTCACATTTGAATAGAAAGCATTTTTTTCTTCCGAGTGTTCTTCCATTAGCCATACAACAATCTTTGTTCTTGTTAAATGTGCATTTGGTTCATTCTGGTTCTCATATACTGGGACCACAGGATTTGGGCCAAATGTCTTGACTTTCTCAAGATATTTGTCAGTGGGTGAGACTTCTAGACATAGTGTATTTTATGAGCTGTACTTTCCAAAATGGCAAATACACTTTTGTATACTGCTTACTCCACATTCCCACCCCCTTAACATCCTGTTCCCCCCAAAAAGGACAAAACCCAGCCAAATTCAGCCTTATTAAAAGTACAATTCTCTAAGCTTTTAGAGAATTTTGAACCTTACCCTGTTCACTAATCTTTTTTGTCAGTGGCTCCATTTTGGTTGAATGACCACTAGGGGGTGATAGGGATATGCACACATCCAAAAATTGTTTCTACTCAAGAAGGACATTAGGCCTTCTTTTATGGGAGTACTACCACCGTTGAATAGCAAGAGTTAAGGCATTAATTCTAGAGACATCAGTTGGCGCTTCCATTTTCAGAGACAAAGGAAATAAAGCTAATTTTTCATACTTCAAAGAGCACAGATCAAACCAGTTGATCAAACTAAGAGATTTATGAAAGGCACAAGCACCTATACGCTATCCTAGATCAGGAGGTGATTATAAATACTGTACTCCTCCCATGAACCTGTGAGCTCACCCATATGAGCATTCTCTCCAATGATGCATACAGCAAACCATCCATACCTGTCTAGACTATCCCCAAAATTCTCCACATTCTATTTTTTATATTTTACTTTAAATCCTGAAACCAAAATAGTCTGGGCTCTCCTGCTGTGTAATGATAATATCCATATCTTCCAAGGGCTGTTGAACAAGCACAGAAGATAACGGGGGAAAGTTAACTGGAATAAATTTGACTTCAGCTAATGTGGTGGCCTTGGAAACAAGCATGCCATGGTTGTCCATGTCACTAGGTGGCGTTAGCTGGAAGAAGCAATGAATTCCTAGCAAAAGAAATTAGCAAGTGAGGCTAACACAGATGCTTAGGGTTGGGACTAGGAGACTCTTACACAGCCCACCTGACAGAGGCATTCAACGGAGCAGATGGTCAATGGACTGTGTGGGCTGAGTGGTTTGAATTAACTGCTGAAATAAATTAGCAGAAGGGAGGATGCGCATCACTTTGGTTAGTGAAAGAATGATCTGGAGATTAGAAAGAAAGGAAAAGCAAAAGCGGAAAATTAAAAGATGTACTCAGACTATATTTTAAAAGTGCTTCTCGCTCCTGCATAGTATGGCCCCGGGAACATAGAATAAATACTGATAAATGGTTTCTTTCATGTTTTCCTAGCTAAGGAAGCACACCAAGCCCCTGTATTTCTTGAGAAGCTGCAGAACACAGGAGTTGCTGATGGGTACCCAGTGCGACTGGAATGCCGTGTTTCTGGAGTTCCTCCACCTCAGATATTCTGGAAGAAAGAAAATGAGTCGCTCACTTATAGCACTGACCGCGTGAGGTTGGCCTGAATCTGTGATTCCGTCAAGTTAAATTAGAACTGTTTGAATCTGAACTCAACCAGAAAAAAGGCTTTTCACATTTAGTAATATAACATAGTAAAATGATAATCTATCCTGAAGTGTCCCTTATTAAGAGGCACAAGCTTTGAAGGAGATGCTACCAATGATCTGAGAAAAAAAAAGTTTTGCTTAGTCTAACAGTGATATTTAAAAAAAAAAAGAGCTTTTTCTTAGTATTTTAGAAGATGAATCTATTTGTTTTAATAGCCAGCCAGGGGAAATGTTTAGTGGTGTGTTTTTTTTTCTAAGCCAAAAACTTAGCTAGAAATTAAGTACACAAATTTATTCCACCCCTTGATGTCCACTCCTATATCTCATGGGGCTTGCCTGTCTCTCCAGAATAAGTAGACCCCATTATCTGCAGCTTGAAAAATTCTGCTTCTAATGATCTAATTAAAAATAATGCTGCATGTCGAAAGACATTTTCAAAATTTTATTTAGAACCCTAATGACCTTCTCTTCTCATCAGCATGCACCAGGATAATCATGGCTACATCTGCCTGCTCATTCAAGGAGCTACAAAAGAGGATGCTGGATGGTATACTGTGTCAGCAAAGAATGAAGCTGGGATCGTGTCATGCACTGCCAGGCTGGATGTTTATAGTGAGTGCCTCTTTATCTCTTGTGTTCATTCTGTCCTGAAATTTAAGATAGCTAAATGTTGCATTAGTCAGCGTGGAGGTATCCTGATCAACCTCTATAAAAGCAATCCATTCACAGAAAGGTTTATGTTGCTCTCTTTCTTTCTATTTGTAGTTTCTCGACACTAATAGTGATCCACACCAGGAGAACAAATACACTGTCAAAGTATAAGTCAAGATTTTTGAAATATTAAAAGCAAAATATGCATGCTAATGTTTCTTTGTGTAGTTAGCTATATAACTGGCCTTTTTACTTAAGCATCTGTAGTAGTAGGGAAAGGCATGATTGATTACATTCATTTTTCATATGTTTTTGTTGTTGCGAGGCTCTGCAAATGACAACGTTTAATGTCTCCTTGTATCATAATTCTATTATAATCTTATAGTGCACTCTAGAAATGCACACTAATGAGCCAAGGATGCATATACTCTGTTGCTTTCTTAGCCATAGTGTATTAATATAGCTTCAGCAGTGGATTTTTACCAACATTTGTGTGTGTGTGTGTGTGTGTGTATGTGTGCAAATGTGTGCATGCACACCAGAATATGCCATTCCTATGTTTCAAATAGGAGGAATTTGTGTAAGCAAACCAGTAATGCAGTAATGTTCCCTAGGCCCAGGCAAAATGTTCCTATAAAATTGTTGAACCAACACAATATGATCGTGAGCCTTTATGTATGTACATACATGTATATATTTATGTGTGTTGTGTGTGATTGTTTTATTTCAATTTTTCAATTTAATTTGGATTGAAAACAGTTTTGTGGAGTCCCTCCTGGGAAGATTCACTTAAACTGACCTCCCAACCCAACCTTTTTCCATACATTGGAATTTTAAAATGCCCAGTCAGGGTACCTAACAACATCCATGACAACGGACAGCAGAAACAGGTTTGAGAGAGAGAGAGAGAGAGAGAGAGAGAGAGAAAGTGACCACATCTTGACTTTACAATAACACTCATTTTTACACAACAACTTAAGCTTTACAAAGTATTGCCCTTGCCACAACCTCACCTATGAGATTAGGCTTTGAGAGGGAAAAGAAAATGGGATGGAAATTTCTGGAGGGAGCAGACAGCCATGTTGCTTAGAGAATATTTCAGAATATTCTCCTTGAGAATCTTTCCTTTGGAGTGAAGGTAAATTTTATATATTCTGGCTGTGATGGCCAAAGCACCCTAGAGAAAGGAACAAATGTAGGTGAAGTTACCATCTGTAAATAAAGCAAGATTAGGTTGAGGGGTAGGAGGGAGAGGGGGCAGAGGACAAAAAACAGAAGATCACCCAGTCTCAGTGTTAGTTGAGTTGGTCATTCTCTGTTTTCAAAATAGAATGTATGGCCAAGTTATTTGAGCAAGAACTTTTTCAATTTACTTTGATCATCTGAGAATCCACACTCTGGTTAAACACTAACTATTCTCTTGGCCTTTCTATAGCCCAGTGGCATCAACAGCCCCAGAGCGCCAAGCCAAAAAAAGTACGGCCCTCAGCCAGTCGCTACGCAGCACTTTCAGACCAAGGACTAGACATCAAAGCAGCGTTTCAGCCCGAAGCCAGCCCGTCTCACCTGACTTTGAATTCAGGCTTGGTAGAGAGTGATGATCTGTAGGTCCTGTGTGATTTTCAAAACAGAAACACTGAAAGCCATTGCCTTGACCAACCATATTCCTTTGTCACTTTATGTAAAAGGTAGACACACACCTTTGACCACATACAAGAGATAAAGAACACCATACCTTTACTTTTTTAATTCACTATTACACCCAGTGGAGAGTATTAGTAGCTGGTATTCATAGAAATGTACACCTTGCACCAAAAATTCACATTCATCCAATTTTTTAATTTTGAGAATTGCTGAGTATCTTTGTCAGAAATGCCAAAGCACTAAAGGAAACCAATTGAGTGAAAGCAAACACAGTTTGCATGTATCACCAAATGCCTTTAAACACAAGCTCACTAGTGCTTTTCAGCATACTGTGAAATGCTTAATTGGAGGCAGTTGGACTACAAGTCAAAACTAAAATATGATGCTAAAGTGGCAATGCATTGAGACAGCTACAGTGAACAAGTGCAATATGGTAGAATCCAAAAGGACAGAAACATCCAAGTAAACGTTTCCTTCTGCAAATTGCTTCCTGTTATATCATAGAGAAAAACTACTTGCCTTAGATCTTCATTGATATCGACAGTTTTCTAGCAAGGTTAATGCCTTAGTTTTTGGGGGTTTTTTCCTATGTATAATATTTTTTCTCTTCCTGCCCCCTCCTCCCCCTGGGCTGGAAGCTTATTTACAATCCATACTGAAAAAGGCTAATTTAAGTACCAATAATTTAATGTATTTTGAATAAGGTCTGAAGTGTATAGTACAGTCTGTTCCATGGAAGGAATCCAAATGCCCCCATGACAACCATGGCATATTATTCTAGGAGGATGGATGGGGGAGGAGAAAGAAGGTAGTGGAATACAAGAATGTTCTGCCATTGTGATTGTACTGCATTTATTTAAATGAACTGGAAAGAACAGGGAGATGGTAAAGACCAGGTCTGTTTTTGTTGTTGTGAGTGAATGAATCTCAAATTTATTTGAATAAAACACTACCATTCACAAGTCTCAAATGCTGGGGTCGGCTAGAAGTCTAGAATGTGTAAGGAGGGAGTTTCAGTGTGTGTGGTATTTTTGTCTCGTCTGAGAACTGGAACAGTATAGAGCAAGTTGAAATGGACCGAGTCTGTAAGACTGATGGAAATGGCAAGTAAGCACCTGTGGGAGCTGGTTTCATGGCTACTTGAAGGAAATAAAGCTTGGAGAGGGGCAAAAACAGACTTGTGTCATAATGTATTTTACTTCATGGTATATACGTGGTCATGGCAAGTGGTGAATATCACTTTACTTCTCTGCTATGTTATAACCCAGTGACCCTCCTCTAAGAAGGGACTATGTTCTATGTAGTACATGAAGATGTTAGATTAAAGGCTGCTTCGACCGCAAACTGGACTGGGCAGATTCTGACTATATTTGGAGGTCTTAATTCAGAACCAAGCCATTTTAATGAGGGAAAAATAATTAGGCCAAACGAGAAAACATGAAGTTTTGATGGTACTTTGCTATGAAAGGAAAACACTGTATTCCTTATACAAAGCACATATATCTTTCATTATTTATAATAAAAATATTGAAATCTATCTCAACTCATTTATTCAAGTTATTACTTTGTTTTGTTTTTTTAAAGAATTTTATAATTGTGTACCACCCCATATATTTTGCATTACGGCTACACATGTATTGCTTTGTACCTTTTTGTAAGAACAACCAGGTTTTAAGTGATTGATGAACTTTCGCACATAGGATAGCTATTGATCTCTGCAGAGTGATGCCAGTTTTCTGACCACGCTCATACACATGGCTAATATGAATTTAAGATGCAGTACACGGTCGGTCCTGGAACTATTCTACCTACACTTTAGAAATATTATGTCATGTATCACTTGCCAAATTTTTCTGAATGTGACTTGCTAATTTACTGGTTTTTAGCTTCACTAGCATTATTTTGCCACCTTTTATTTGTATTTATAAAGAAACAGTGTACTAGCATACTACTTTGGATTGTCGTGTTGATATCATGTGGTTTTAACATCAATAAATATTTAACAAGTAAGATAGTTGTCATTTTCTGAAGCAAGGTATTTCAGTCTTTTTCTCAATGCAAAGGTGCAATGTCATCAATGTCATCAAAAGTACATTCTAGAGCTATTTTATCCAAAGGAATAGTTGTGTAAACATTCTACAGATAACACAAAACTGGGGCAGGGGGAAGATGTGGATCTCACTACGTGACAGAATCTGGACCTGACGAGATCTTACCACTTTAAAATGATGGGCCAAAATGTATAGACAAACACAAAATAATACCTTCTAGTTCAAAAGATCAACTTCACAAGCATAGGATGGGGCAATTCAGGCAGAAAAAGGAGCTCAATAGGAGTCAACAATATATCACGGTGGCCAAAAAAGCTACTGCGATCGTCTTGTTTTGTTGCTGAGCTGCGTCAGCTATGTCTGACTCTTCATGACCTCGTTTCTGGGGCTTTCTTGGCAAAGACACCAGAGTGTTTTGCCATTTCCTTCTCCAGTTCATTTAACAGATGAGGAAAGTGAGGCAGACAGGGTTAAGTGACTTGCCCAGGCTCATACAGCGAATAATTGAGGCTGGATTTCAGCATGGGTCCTCCTGACTCTAGGGCTGGCACTCAACACTGCGCCATCTAACTGATCCAAAAGCAATCATGAGGCAACGTTAATACAAGTATTCTGACCTGGTCAAATCACATCTAAAGTATTGTGTTTGAACTGGACCCCACAATTTAGAAAGGACATTGACAAACTGGAGGCTGTCTAAAGCAGGAAAACCAGTATGACAAGGGCCTGGAGAGTTACGCCAGCATCCACTGAAGGAACTGGGCTATTTGGTCTGGAGAACAATAAACTAAGGGAAGAATATGAGAGTTGTCTTTAAATAGTTGAAGATTATCCTGTTGAAGCAAGATTAAACTTGTTCTCCTTGGTTCTGCCTTGCAAAACTAATTCTGGTTAGAATTACAGAATTAATTATATTAACTAATTAATCTAATTACACAAGTTTAAGATGGGTCTATTTTGGCTTGATGTACAGAAAAATCTAACAATTAGATCTATTCCAGTGTAATGGGCCATCTCAGAAGATACTGTGCTCTTTTTCATGTGAGGTTGTCAGACAAAGACTGAAGGAGGATGTTGTAATGTAGGCTCTTATTAAGATACATATTGGACTGTGTGGCCTCATGTCCCTTCCAACTGAGATTCTGTGGATCACTTAGGTTAGGCCTGTGGTTTACATTAGCATTGGGGTCCTCCCACCCACTGTCCTTGCAGCACAGCAGTCAGTCGATCAACAAGCATTTATTAAGCACTTACTGTGTGCTAGGCACTGTACTAAGCACTTGGGAATACAAAGAGAGGCCAAAAAACAAGTCTCTACTTTCAAGGAGAGCTCATGTTTTAGGACTAGCAGTATTTATCGGAAAGTTTCTCTTCCCAGTGCCTCTTTTTCCCAATCTCTTTCCAGAACAAATTTCTCCTTGCTCTTGCTATATAAAAATTATATTAACACTTGCAGAGTCCCTAGCTTTCTGAGAAACCAGTGTTTGAGTATGAACTGTAGATTAAGTTTTTGCCCATTTCCCTAAAACAACCTAAAATCTAATTCTACTAATTTCTGTGATTAAAATTTGAAATAATTTATATCCTAAAGAAGCACGTAACTGAGGAAAGGGAATTCACTTACAGTAGGAACAAAATCCAGATCTTTTAAAAGAAAATTTTATTTGAGGGGGATGGTTATAAGCATATGAAACAGTCTTAGACGATTAAAATATTCAGAAAATGCTTCATTTAAGTAATAGGACTTGAGCTGAGACTTAAAGGCCAAAGCCAATTTGTATGGCCAAGAGTAATGGTTCAAAGGTAAGAATAAATGTGATCTTTTGGTGGGGCAAGGCTTCCTGATGAGAAGCACTCAAAGACAGAGTAGGGCCAAACTGCTGAAGGCCTTGAATGTCAGGGTGAAAGAGTTTGGACTTTAGCCTATAGGCAACGAAGAGTTATTAAAGAAAAGTTGCGGGCCTACAGAGTGAAATGATCAAAGCAGTGTTTTATGAAGCTTATTCCCCTGTCAGTGAGTAGGAACTCAGAGAAAATTGGGCAACTGTTAGTTTCCTCTGAGTATCTCTTTACTGAAAGTTTCATGGGAGTTCATTGATGTGTATCTATACAAGTTTGTGCAGCAGTGGAGGTATAAGTCCCAAGTCTGATTCCATCACTGAGTGATGGCTTCAGAACAATTTTTGCCTTTCCTATCTCTAAAACGTGCATAGTAATTTCTTTTTGTGGTGTCAAAGTGCTTGGAGATCTTCAGATAAATGTTTGGGGGGAATCCAATATTTAGTTTGCAGTGGTGGAAGTATATGTGACTAATAAAACAGCAACCTTAGAAATTGTATGTAAATGATCACTAGAGTGAAAAAATAGAGTAAATATAAGATTTCTAAGAAAATTATTTGGACAGGCGCCATAAATAAAAGTATGAGTTAACATGAAAATATAGAACAGGAAAACATTGCAGACAATGGGGAAATTAGGTAAGAAAAACACTATGAAGTGAAGAATATAGAACCAAGGGAGCAATATGTTCTTGTTTAGACCTGTCCAGCTCTCCATGACCCTCTTTGGGGTTTTCTTGGCAGAAATTTTGGAATGGTTTGCCATTTTCTTCTCCAGCTCATTTTATAGATGAGCAAACTGAGGCAAACAAGGTTAAGGGACTTCCCTAGGGTTGTATATCTACTAAGTGTCTGAGGCTAGATTTGAACTAAGGAAGATGAGTCTTCCTGACTTCAGGCCCAACACTCTAGCCACTGTACCACCTAACTGCCCCTAAGAGAATAATATACATAATTACAAATAATGTGGATGAAAGGAATGCTAAAAGGTAGCCAGTATCTGATTAATTGCAATGACCAGTCTTAAATATAAGAAACAGAAGGTGAAACACATCTCCCTCCTCAGAGAAGAAAGGTGGAGGACTATGGGTGTAAACTATTGCACATGCTGTGAGAAACGTGCTGTTTCCAGATGTTTTTTAATATTTTTCTTGGCTCTAAGGGAGGGTTCAAGATGGGGGGGACAGTATATAGGGAAATAAAAAGCAAAAGGCATCAATAAAACAAGAGAAGAGAGGGCACAAATGATTGTGCACTGTGTATGTAGAGTAGCCCTACATATATGTGCACTGGAATCCAAACAAGCATCAAACCCCATTCCAAAGATCACTTAAAAAAAAAATCTGGACAGAGTCCAACTGCTAAACAATTGGGATTCTCTAGATTTCTGCCCATGAAAAGTAAATTGTCATGTAGCAAAACACACGCATCATCCAATTGTTCTGTCCCAAAGAAAACGATCCTATAAACATAAAATTTACAGCCAGTCTAACTGAACTGTCTTCAGGCATGTTACGTAGGGCTGGTTGGGGATCTGAAAAATGATGATATTATTTGACATACCAACAAAAGCCATTTTTCACTTTAAATAGAGAATGAGGAAAACAGCAGGGTACTTTAACTACTGACTTGGAATACATCATTTAAATTATCTTCTTCCATCATTTTCCCTTTTCACCTGAACAAAATTATATCAGGACAATGTTTGACATCAGGAAGGACGAGGAAGAACATGGTCTTAATTGAGCATAAACTAGATGATCTATCCCTGAATAATTGAGCAGCAACAGTATATACTGTAACTATAAAATTATGAAAATATTCTCTTTCATTAATTAATCTTGTTTTATAGTCCCAATACAAAGTATCATAGAAACAGAGGATCTGAGGACCATGAAATCATAGATTTGGAGTTGGCAGGGACTTTAGAGGTTACCTAATCCAACTCTCTCTTTTTATAGAAGAGGAAACTAAGGCTCAGAAATGACACTAAGAATATTTTCTAAAAACAAATGATGGATCAAGAACGTTCATGTGATCCAACCAAGGTTTTACTTGTTTCTACGAAAGGAAGCAGAGATAAATTGCTCTAAATACCATTTCTATTTTACATGGCACAGTTGCACACCAGTGTTTTGAGAGATAGGGTGTTTGATAAGTGTGGTAAGTCTGTTAAATAACAGTGAAAAAATATTAAATACCTCATAACATTTTTCAATTTCTCTATATTCTAAAATGTTTTGCTTTAGAAGCATGTTTATGGTTTTAAAAATAATATATGATTGACATATTAGCTCTAATTACCAAAGTTCCATTGCTCTAAGATGGAGTCAATCTTATTTCTCCTTTTCAACATACAGACAAAGAGTTAGAGGCAATGTTTGAACCCAGAGTCTTTGACACCAAATAAAGAGGATTTTTTTTCCATCACAATACAGAGATATGGATTAGCTCCCAATAACAGTAATCCAAATTGAATCCTTGGAGATAGATACATGCCATTGTTAAGATCTATATACAGAAACTGACTCCTTTCTCAAGAAGATCATAGGTGTGCTCAGGCAGCATTCGAAGCATTCCAAAATACACTGTGCCATAACATTGGGTCTTTTCATTCTCTTCATGAGAAGAGACTGTGCAGCACTGGCAGAGTGTAGAATCATACTATTTTGGCACACCTATGGATCGTAGATGTAAATTTAAAGAATTAAGTTAAATTCAAATCCTACACCAAATATTTACTATCTATGACACCATGGAAAATCATGTCCATTTGCAAAATTAGAATAAAGAATTTATGATATTTAAAAAAAATTATTTTCACAAATTATTTAAACTTTTCTAAAGGAGGGGATTTTGGAGAACCTGCTCAAGAACGCATGAAAATGATTACAAAGAAAATACAAGGCTGGATCATGGAAAGTGATAACTATGCCACTAATGTATAGCTTATAGAATTTATATTTATTGCTCAGTATTATTCCTCTCTGGAATAGCTGTCACTTGACTGTTTACAGATTCATATGAAAAGACCTTGTCAAACAAATGGAACAAAATCAATCCCAGAGCCATCAAGGACAGGATCCTTGGCACCTCTAATTTGACTTATAGCATATGATAT